TTCCTGAAAAAGTCCTCTCTCTTTGCCTCCATGATGCCACACTTTGTTCTGCCCAAGGTTGGGTAACCAACACCTCTCACCTAAAAGACTGCATCAGTCACTCTGCTCTCTCCATTACAACCAGAGTGCATTCTACAATCTGATTTAACTACATGACTCTCCATGTCTAAAATTCCTTCAGGTTAAAATGCAAACCCTCTTATCTTTCTTCCATCAACAATATTTAATGACTGCTTTCCTTCAGTCAGGCACTGTAATAAACTCTGAGTATATGGGTGAAGGTCTTTGTTGTCACAAAACTTATAATTTATCTAGTCAGGAAGACTGATGACAAATAAATAATAAGGTAAAAAAGGAAACAGGCTAAGTGTTGGAAAGAGGATGGCAAAGTGGGCGATAGATGCTATTGAAGTAGAGTCAGAAGAGCTGAGAAAGAACCAGCAGGATGAAGAAGCAGAATGCTCTAAGTGCAGTCAGGGAACCAAATGAAAATGAAAATCTTCCAAAGGGGAAAAGCTCTTGATGTGTTGCCGGATGGTGTGGTCTAGAGAGTAGTAGACAAATGGGAGACAGACTGTGTGGGATGAGAGAGAGGAGCAAGGTCAGTCATGTTGGACCCTGTAGCTTGAACATGACCCTGAGAACATGTTATAGACAGTTGTTTCTGGTAGTACTTTGAGACACTAACTGAAGATGGAAGAAACGGGGAAGGAAGAAAATCAGATGAAAGCCATTGCAATAGTTCAAATAGGAGAGAAGGAGGGCCAAAATTTAAACAGAAAGTGAGAGGGTGAATTTAATTAAGAGATGCTTTGGAAGTATAATTAGATTTTCTACGAAATGTCTAACTGGAGACTTTAGCCCTATTAACCACTACCTGTCTGTCACTTTGCTGTCCTGTGGTGGCTTATGTATTGCTGTGATGTTGGAAGCTGTGATACCAATATTTCAAATTCCAAAAGAGTTAACCATGGTGGACAGGCTTCAGTGGAGCTTTCAGACTAAGATAGACTAGAAGGAAAGGCCTGGTGATTAGTAAAGGCTCAAGGCTCACAGCTGGACATTGTCTGACTCACTTGCTTTGGATATGACATCAGGAGAAATGAACTGCTGGAGAGGGATATCATGTTTGATGAAGCCGTGGGTCAGTGAAGTGAATGCAAGAGAGACCTTCAATGAGCTGGGTTATCACAACTATCAAAACGATGAATCTGACAATGCTTGCTATTATGAGAGTGATGCAGGACTGGGCAATGTCTTACTTTTTGGTACATAAGGTTGCCATGAGTCAGTCAACTTGACACCATCGACCTACCTAACCTACCTACCTACTTACCTACCTATCCATCCATCCATCCATCCATCCATCCATCCATCCATCCATCCATCCATCCATCCATTCATCTTGGATTAAACTTAGTAAGAAATAGAACTTATGCAAAATAAATAAATAAATAAATAAGGAAATTACATTGAGAGATCTGAGTAAATGAAGAGATATAAAATATTTCCTGCTTAGAAAATCAACAGATCTCAAATTAGGCTGAATTTAATGAATCCTAATAAAAATTCCAATGATTTTTTTTTTAATCTTAATATCTGATGTTCATTTTAAAGAATAGGATATCATCAGAATTTTTAAAGGTAAATGTATTTAAAGGGAACTTTAGTATTAAAACAAATATTATCACTACGGAATCTCTGGTTAGTACATATGGTTACACTTGACTGCTAGCCAAAAGGTTGGTGGTTTGAACCCATTCAGTAGCACTTTGGAAGACAGGCCTAGTGATTTGCTTTCAAAATGTCACCACCTTGCAACCCTTATGATGCATTTCTGCTCTGTGCATGTGGAATGCCATGAGTTGGAATCAGTGGAACAACAATAGCAGCAGCACATATTGTAAAGCTATCATACTTAAAGCAGTGTGGTAGTAGTGTAATAATTACACATAGTTCTATTGAATAACACAGAATATTATACTATAAAAATCTCTCCTAGATTTTGCCTATGAAAAGTATCCTGGACAAAAAAAAAAATGACTAAACAAATGGATGACTAACAAAGTCTCTACACCATACTCGAAAAATTGAATATAGGAAATCAAATCATAAAAATTTTACAAGACATTAGAAGTCTCTCTGACCATGAAATGGACATGGACTTTCTGAGCTTAAAAATGAACAATTTTCACCATGTAAGGAAAAAGATTTACTGACAACCTGTGATCTGCATATGATACAACTTTTTTTTTTTTGCTGAAAGGGAAGAGGAATTGAGCCACTTGTGAAAACCACATAAGGCAGCTTTCAATATGGGTTACATCACAACATAAAGAAAAAAAAAATATTCACTACTGAACCAATAAGCAACATTACGATACATAGAGAAGATATTGAAGTTTTCCAGGGTTCCATTTTACTTGGATCCACAATCAACATCCATAGAAGCAACAGTCAGGATATCAAAGGACATATTGCATTGAGCACATTTGCTGCATTAGATTTCTTTAAAGTGTTAAGAAGCAAAGATGTCACTTTGAGGACTAAGGCACACCAGACTCAAACCATGGTATTTTCACTCACCTTATATGCATGCAAAAGCTGGACAGTAAATAAAGAAGACCAAAGAAGAATTGATGCCCTTGAATTATGATGTTGGTGAAGAACATTGAATAGACCATAGACTTCTAGAAGAATGGACACATCTGCCTTGGAAGAAGTACAGCCAGAATGTTCCTTAGAAGTGAGGATGGTAAGACTTTGTCTCACTTAGTTTGGACATGCTATCAGAAGGAACCAGCAGAGGGTCAGTGAAAAAAATAGAGGGTACGTGAAAAAGAGGAAAACTCAAGAGGTGGATTGACACAGTGGCTGAAACAGTGGGCTTAAGCACAGCAGTGGATGTGTGGATGGTGCAGGGTGGACCACTTCCGTTCAGGGTTGCAATGAGTTGGAACAGATTCTATAGCACCTAACAACAAGAACTGAACATTTCCTCATGTCTAAAAAGCAATAATAAAGTTAAATGGCAAGAATATTTATAATATTGTATCAAAGGGTTGATTATTGTTATGTACTATTGAGTCAGAACCGACTCCACGGCACATAACAACAACAACAATGGAGTAGGGTCCAACTCATGTCAATCCTCTGTACAACAGAATGAAACACTGCTCAGTCCTGCACCAACCTCACAATTGTTGTTATGCCTGAGTCCACTGCTGCTGTTACTGTGTCGGTCCACCTTTAGGCAATCTTCCTCTTTTTCACTGACCATCCATTTTACCAAGCACGATGTCCTTCTCCAGGGACTGGTCTTTCCTGAAATATATGTCTGAAGTAAGAGAGACAAAATCTGGCCATCTTGGTTTCTAAAGAGCACGGATTTGTTTGTTCTTCTTGCAGTCTGGGGTACTTTTAATATTCTTCTCCAACACCATAATTCAAATACATCTATTCATCTATAGTCTTCCTTATTCATTGTCCAACTTTCACATTCATATGAGGCTATTGAAAAGACCATGGCTTGGATCAGACACACCTTCGTCCTCAAACTGGTATCTTTGCTCTTGAGCACTTTAAAGAGGTCTTGTGCAGCAGATTTGCCTAATGCAATACATCGTTTCATTTGACTGCTGCTTTCATAGTGTTGGTAGCCTTTCTATATTGCTGATATACTTGCTAATATAAGAGGAGTTTTTGGACAAAGAGAAAAATTCTCAGTAGTACTTTAATGTTCAGTTCTTAATCCTATATACTTATTAATCAAGCAACATTTAAAAATAGTATACAAGGATCTTTCTTCTAAATATTTACAGCATTCTTAAACCACAAGTTTAAGTTTTGATCACAACTTGTATATTTAATAAATTAACTTTTCCCAGATATATAAACATTGATTCTCAATGTAAGCAAATATTTTAAAATAACAAACTAGAGGTGGAAATGGTTCTGGTGGGCAAATGTGTTGCTAGTGCTGGTGATCTAGCTGCTGTGTGTGTGTGATGGAACTGGAAAAATAGTGTTAAAAATACACTAAATCCACACTCATTTCTCTCATATAACTTGTTCCCTTTGTGTATTTTGTTATTCTTATAGAATGTGGCTTCTTTGCCCTCTAAGAATTCTTTGTTTGACATATATAAGAATCTCTTATAAACTGAGAAGGAAAATGGCCAAAGAACAGATCGTCTCAAAAGAAAATCAGATGTAAAATATGCAAGAAAGATGTTTAACCCAGATAGTAATTTAAAAATAAGCAACAATGAGATCCTGTTTCTAATTGTCCACACCTATCAATTTACAGAGGGTTATTATGAATTATAATTATTAATTATGAATAATAAAGAAGACCGTAGAAGAATTGATGCTTTTGAGTTATGGTGTTGGAGGAGAATATTGAAAGTACCATGGGCTACCAAAAGAACAAATAGATCCGTTTTAGAAGAAGTGCAGCCAGAGTGCACTTCGTCTCTCATACTTCGGACATATTGTCAGGAGGGACCAGTCACTGGAGAAGGATATCATGTTTGGTAAGTTTTGAGGGTCAGAGAAAAAGAGGAAGACCCCCAATGAGATGGATTGGCCAAGTGGCAGCATCGATGGACTCAAGTGTGGCAAAAGTAGTGAGGTTGGCTCAGGATCAGACAGTGTTTCTTTCTGCTGTACATAAGGTCGCTATGGGTTGGTACTGACTCAATGGCACCTAACAACAACAACAAATTATGAATGATCAATTCTGACTAGGTTTTCCTGAGAAAAGGTGTTGTTGCTTATGGTGGTTATTTAAAAGTATAAAAATTGGAAGGAAAAGGTGAATTATGGCATCTCCATTTCTTGTGTTTTTGTTTGTGATGTTTTTATATATTGTAATTTTTCTACAAGTATAGTGTTTTGATATTATAACCAGATTGATTATACAACCATGTATATACATTTTGAAAGGCACATATGTGTGAACCTATAAAATAACACTTTCTTTTGGTACTGATATGTAGGTGTTCCCTCTGGCTCATGTGTGCAATGACACCAATAAGATGACATTAATTAACCCCCAAGGAGTGAAACTCAATATCTACAAGCAAAAAGTAGAACAAGCAATTAAGTCCTATGAAAAGTGAGTATTACTCCTGGCTACTCTTTAATGAATATAGATTTTGCTTATTTGTGCTTTCTTATTTCAGCTTTGGAATTTTCATCTGAAGCAGCTATTTTTTAAACTTTCTATAAGGAACCTCAACAGCAGCAGCAATTAATATATTTACAACAGAGTCTTAGAGAAACCATCTTCCATTTCCAAAACCCATAGAAATCTCATGTTTCCATGAGATCTTTGACATTTTCCTTTGAGCAAAATGAACTTGATCATTTCACCAGCTAACATTCTATAAAGTGACTCATTAAACTCTACAGAATGGTGCAATAATGGAAATAACTATATATTATTTGTAAAAATTATGTCAAGATCGAGACTGAAAATTTTACTGCAATGAAAATTGTACTCTTAAATAGTTACTGTGTCCTTGCCAGCATAGGAGGCTTCTTTTCACAAGGGTGTATAAGCCAGTCTTCACCCTTGAGGGGAGGCCTAATCATCACCCTACCCCAGCCCCAGTACATAATTAATCCTTGGTGCACACCACTTAATTAAATGTCAAGCATGCCCAGCTTCTTCTGGCAAGCCTGTTCTTGGTTCTAGAAGGTTGGGTAAAATGAAAAAAGCACATGGAAGTTAATGTGGCCCAGGCAAGTATTTACTGACCTCCTGTGATTTTGCAGTGCATCTAGCGAGTGTTGAGGAATATAGGCCCACATGGAGTGCACACTCCAGGTGCAGCCTGCAGTGCAAAATCAGTTTTTTCCCTGTTGACCTCTCCAAATCTCCTTGCTCTTGAGCCTTTCCCATTGCCCTCACCTAAAACTTGAGGCCCTTACATGCGCTTCTTCAGTGCCTTCCCCTACTCCTTTGGTATTTTTCTGCATCTTTACCTGGCCAGCCAGAGATGAACTATCCCAAGGCTTACCCTTTCTCTTGGGTCTGAGGCTTAGCTGTGTTGTGGTTGCCCGCCCTCATTCGTGGCCATTTCTCTTGCTCTAGAAGAGATACTTCTTGCCTCCAAGCTTTGCTCTTTTCTTCCTGTTATCCCCTAGCTGGCCTTTCCTCCCCTTCTTACCTCAGTGCCAGTGACCTGCCTCAGGGAGGCTTTTCTCCCCTCTCTCTCCAGCCCCTACCCTTGGAAGCACTCAAGCTTCTTCTGAGGTCTGTGGCTTACTAGTGTCTCACCCTGAATTAGTGTCAGCAACTGAGGCCAGGGGGCACCCTTGTTTTCTCCTTCAACTCCTTTTCCTAGCAAGTGTTTGGCACATTGTATATGCTCAAAAAATAATCAAATTACATATGTGTAAATATTTCATTTGAATTGTATATTGTTATTATATGCCGTGGAGTCAGTTCCAACTCATAGCGACCCTGTACAGGGTTTCTGAGGCTGTAAATCTTTATGGTAGCAGAAAGCTTCATCTTTCTCTCACAGAACAGCTGGTAGTTTTGAACTGCTGACCTTGCGGTTCACAGCCCAATCCATAACCACTACGCTACCAGAGTTGTATAGAAGAATTCAAATTTAGTTTTGAAATTCATGTTCAGTCATCCAAAACATAATATAATAAGAATACTCAAATTTTAATTTAATTTGGTTGAATAATTGAGTCCTATCGTAACCATCGTTACCTTGAGAGCACCATGGCTCTGTAGGATAACCTCAAAGTCCATGGTTCAAGAACACCAGCCGCTTCAAGGGAGAAAGATGAGGGTTTCTGCTCCTGCAAGGATTTACAGCCTCGGGAACCCTATAAAGGGTCTTTATGAGTTGAAAAGAATTCAACAGTGTTGTTGCTCTTAAGTTGTGTCAAGTCAGTTCTGACTCATAGGGTTTCCTAGGAGTGGCTGGAGAGTTTGAACCACTGACCTTGTAGTTCAAACTAGCCTTGCAGTCCAGTGCTTTATACCACAGCGCCATACCAGGACTTAACAACAATATCATTACTCTGTATGAGAGCATGGTGCAGGGATGCAGGCTAGAGTGCTGAGGTTAGTCAGGGACACAGGCTAGAGCGCCAAAGTCAGGCAGGGACACAGACTAGAGCGCTGAGGTCAGGCAGGGACAAAGGCTAGAGCTCTGAGGTCAGGCAGGGACACAGGCTAGAGCGCTGAGGTCAGGCAGGGATGCAGACTGGAGCACTGAGGTTAAGCAGGGATACAGGCTAGAGCACTGAGGTCAGGCAGGGATACAGCCTAGAGTGCTAAATTCAGGCAAGAATACAGGCTGGAGCACTAAATTCAGTCAGGGACACAGGCTAGAGCTCTGAGGTCAGTCAGGGACATAGGCTAGAGCGTTGAGGTCAGGCAAGCATACAGACTAAAGTGCTGAGGTCAGGCAAGGATACAGGCTAGAGCGCTGAGATCAGGTGCTTCTGGGTTTTGTGCTTGACCTTGACACTTCCTCTGGGAAAAGTCATGTGATAACTGGACTTCAGATTCCTTATTTACAACGCCTTCTCACAGGGCTGCTGTTAGTGTTATTTGAGTTTTGTATAAAAAGCAATTAACGTAATTACATCCTCCTTTCATTTTCTATGTCTGCCAATCCTAACGTAACCATAATATATGGTGTGTCTTTGACACCTGGCTGTCTCTTCACACTGGCTTAACCTTTCCCAAGGACTTCAGGAACAACAGGGCAGCCCCACTTCCAGGTAGAAGAGAGCCCTTCTTCACTGGTAACAAACCAAAATACAGACATAGTGATTTGACTTCTCACTTGCAGTGAGTAAAAGAACCTGGAAATGTGTCTTTGCACTCTTTAGAGAAATACTGTGGAGTGCTGGTGTGGCACTGCAGGATAATGCACTGGACTGCAAGGTTTGTTTGAACTGCAGGGTTGGAGGTTCCAACTCACCATCTGCTCCTTGGAAACTCTATACAGGGTTACTATGAGTCGAAACCACTATGAGTCGACAACATTTAACAACAAGAGAGATACTGCCATTATAAAAAGTTCAAACTCAAACTCACTGCCATCGGTTGGTTCCAACTCATAACAACCCTTAGGGTTTCTGAGGTTGTAAATCTTTCCAGTAGCAGAAAACTTCTTCTTTTTCCCCAGAGTGTCTGGTGGGTTTGAAATGCTGACCCTTCGGTTAGTCCAGTGTTTATTCTACAGCACCACCAAGGCTCCTTTATTGTCATTGTAGTCTTCTCATTAACAGTGTTAATATTTAATACTAGACTGCTAACTGCAAGGTTCAGCAGTTCAAACCTACCATCTGCTCATTGGAAACCCAGTGAAGTCACTCTGAGTTGGAACTGACTCGACAGCACTTAACAACAGCAATAAATGAGCATTGTTATTTAATATTAATTTTGACTTTATAGGTAGTCAGTTATTTTCATTATTTAATCATATTAGTATTGCACAGAACTGAATTAGAGACATGTGATGACTAATTGGACTGACACCAGCAGTTTCTCAGAGTATCTAAACCTTCTCTAGAACTTGGAGGGAACCAATGTTGAGTTCCTCCTGGTTGCTTTCTGTGTATACATCTCAGTTCTCTCAACACCAAGGCTAGATGGTACTATCCCTCTCTTGGATGGGAAAATGCAGTTTCACAAAGATTTGTGACTCAGTATCTCACATAAACAAAGTGGGGATGTTGAGATTGGAACCCTTACCTGAATCATTCCAAAGCCTGTGCCTGCAGTCGCAGCTTCCCCAATACCTTGCTTCCACTTTGGCTTAGACTTCAAAGGATTTTGAAGTTTTGTTTTGTTTTTCAGAAAAGCACACACACACACAAATGCATACTATGAATCTTTTTAAACAATCTTAGAAGCTTTGATCATTGTTATATAAGCCACATGGTTAAAGAAGCCAGTTCCCAAATAAGCCCCAAAGAACCCAAACTTCAAGTGAGACAAAAGCACTGAGGTGATTTATTTTCCTCCCCTCTTCCTGACTGCTTTTCCAACAACACTTAGAGCACACTTACCTGTTTCAGATACCATTTTGTGTACTGTATACACACGGACTCATTGGGTCCTCACAGCAGTATTAGGAGAGGTACTCTGCGAACCACAACGTCAGCAGTTCAAACCTACCAGCTGCTCCTTGGTAACCCTACACATGGTCACTATGAGTCAGAACCAACTCGATGGCACTTAACAAAGCTATCATTATTTCCAGTTCACAGAAACTTGGGTCCTTACCCAAAGTCTCACTGCTAGTAAGGAGTGAATCCCTTGGGCCCAGGTGCTCTGACTCTGAGCCACTGTACCAGACTCCTGGCCTTGCTCTCCCCCAGCTCATGCCAGGAGCACAGGCAGGACAGAATCCTCTAAAATGTGTTCACAGAGCCCAGCTCCACCCCCTGGGAGTTCTGTAGTGAGGGGTCTACTTCCCAGAGAGCGACAATGCTTTCTACCTCATTTTATTGAAGCAGTATTTTCTCCATGGAGCACTTATGACCCTGGAGCCTGTGTTCTGTGCCCTGTATGCCAGGAGACCTGATTTTGAGTGGTAAGCTAACAGAACAGAACTGGGCTGGAACTTTTGAAGCAAGGAGAGTTATAGCTTCAGTAACTGACCTACAGAAACCACTGGTTTCAACCTCCTTCTTGCCCCTAGAGTGGCACTATCTCCCTGAAAGCAAATCCACTCATATGTATTAGCCTCCACATGGCCAGCAAGCTGGGGGTGGGTGAAGTTGGCCACTTCATCTGTCTGTGCCTCTTTGCAGCCTCATTTGGAAGATAAAGGGGTCAGTTTGGTTAGTCTCTAAAGTGTTCTGACAGTATTGCTTATAAATATATGAACCTATTGTGCTGTGAAAACCCATGCAGAAAGCAAGGCAAACTAAGGGCCTGTTGTGTTGTTCTTAAGAAGAAAATGGTAGGTGTTTAGATACATTACCAAAGAAGCCAAGCCAGTTGTCAGTTCTGACTCATGCCATGTGCTTTTGAAAGCTCCATAAAGTTTTCCATAGCTTTTCAGAGGTAAATCTCTAAGCTTTTATTTTGAGGTGCTTCTGGATGGATTCAAACCACCAACCTTTCAGTTAGCAGCCAAGCTTATAGCCGTGTGTTATTAAGTCACCCAGGGACTCCTTAGGAACCTTAATGCAAATATCATGAGGACCAATTTGTTTCTTTTGTTAACCTAGGTTTCAGGTGTCTAAACTGAGGGCTGGCTCCTCCTTTAGTATTTGACACAAATGCCCCAACCAGGCTTTCACAGTGATGCTGAGGGAGGGAGATGCTGTTAGCTCTTTAAGCAAATGACAGCTGCATGGCTCAGTGGTAATGGCATTTTGCTGAGGCTCTCCTCCTGGGCCTCTCAGAACCTTTTGCAATGGAATGTAGTGTTGCTGCTAAATGACTGCTGTTGATGTTTCCTTTAACAGGCGCTTAAATAAAATCGTGTGGCAAGCGTTATCTGAAGAGGAAAAAGAAAAGTAAGTTTCCCCAGCCCTTTTCATTTCGAAGGCAGGGATTGAATTAAGTGATGGTTGTGAGACTGTCATCCTTTGCTTGTCCAGTCACATCACTCATTGGTTGTTCTCTTCCACTTACTCTGAGGGCTGCCAATAAGCCCAGGACCGCAGATCTAAATCAGGCAGGGACCTCCCCTCAGCCAGCTCCCACCTTGTAAGAGCTGTTCTGTGTTGGCATAGAAAACAATACTACAAGATCAAATTAGTTTGAAAGAGATACACAGAGTTCAAGGAATTCATGTTGAGAAGGAAAGAAGGTCAGAGAGAGAAATTCCTTCAGCCTGGGCTAGGGCTGTGGTTTAGGAATTTGGAGGGAGACAGTGGTTTAGTACATTCTTCACCACCATCAGCTTTACCCTCGCCACCTCACTGAGAGCTGGCTGTGTGCCAGGTGCTGCACAAAGCGCCTCACCTCCACCATGCCATCTAATGCTCATGGCTTCCTTGTGTGAGGGCATTGTTCCCACTTCTCAGCAATCTTCTGCAACAGTATGGTCCTGCAGGAGCAATATCAGCACAAACGGTGGGTGGAAGGGGTAAGAGGCCGCAAGCTGTATTGGAAGAAGTCTTTCCGAGGATTCTGATGCCACTCCAGTGTGCAATTCACTGGCAGAGAGAAATTGAGTCATTTCCCCAAGACCACACAGTTGGTGAGTGCCAATATCTGTGTTCTACCCCAGACCTGTCTTGTTCTATAGCTTGTGTTTTTTAATAGTCCGGAACTTAAATAACAAAGTGCGTCTTCTAACACCATTTACAAAGCCCAAGTTTTGGTTTGGTATGTTTGCTGATGAAATTCTCTGTGTCTGTTCACGTGGACAATTAAATTTGCTTCATTTCACAGGTGCTATTCGGTCTGCGGGAAGGTGCCCTCCACTCTCTGCATGGTGGGCTCCTGTTACTCTCACTGCATCAGAGGCCTCCTGATCACCCTAGGGCCCCTCAGGTTTCTCTCCTGGTTCTTGTTAAGTGCTGTCAAGTTGGTTCTGACTCATAGTGATTTTGTATTGGGTTTTCCAGGAGCAGCAGGTAGATTTGAACCTCTGACCTTGAAGTTAGTAATCCAGTGTTTATCTTACAGCTCCTCACTAGGGCCACTTCTCTCTTGCTATTACTTATATATTTGCTTCTTAGCATTGGTCATAATTTATAATTATATATTTCTTGTAATTATTTATTTCCTTATTTTCTAACTGTATCTCGCCACTGAATTTTAAACTTTACAAGACAAGTACTGTAGCCATTGCTAGTCTAAGAATTCCCAGTGTCTAACATGGAGTCCTTTTGTGATATGGTAGGACCGCAAAGTCAGCAGTTCAAACTCACCAGTAAGTTGCTCCATGGAAACCCTATACTGGGTCTCTATGAATAGAAACTGACTCAAGGGCATTTAACAACAACAACAACAAACACAACATGGCATAGTGTGCTTGGCACAGAGTAGGCATATAATTAATATATGTTGAACAATTAATGAGGTCTCTTTACTGTGAATGTCAGCATTCGGTGTTTGTTTTGTGTTTTCTTTACTAATAATGTCTTCACCTCTGCAATTGTTTGATGCCTTTTAAAAATTTTGACATTGATTTCCCAGATCTGAAATCAGAGAGTGATTGTGTTTCCTTTAAAAATATCTATTTGGTTGTATGTTACAACCTTCTAAAGAATCGTTTCTAGCTATATTCAAATATTTGTAAGTTGGGAAGAGATTTCATTTATTGTTATACTAAAGATTCATGTAGGTAATAGATTACTAGAAAGTTAGTCCTGTACTGTGCTGTTGTTAGGTGCTGTTGAGTCGGTACTGACTCATAGAGACCTTACACACAACAGAAAGAACCACTGCCCCGTCCTGCACCTATCTCACAGTTGTTGCATGTGAGCAATTGATGGTCTGTTCCACAGTCTTACCCTAGCCTTGTTTTGGCTGGTGATATACGGAGCTTTTCCATCCTCTCTTTCCACAGATGTAGTCAATTTGATTTCTCTACATTCCATATGGTAAGGTCCATGTGTATAGTCGTCTTTTTCTTTTTTTTTAAAAGTATTTGTGATGAAGTCATTGGTCTTGCAAAATTTTATCATGCAATCTCCAACATAATTTCTATTACCAAGGCCATATTTTCCAATGACTCATCCTTCTTCTCTGTTTCCATCGTTTGCAGTTCAATCACCAGTAATTATCAGTACATCTCGAGTGCATGTTTGATTAATTTTAGACTGAAGAAGTTGGTAGCATTCTTCAATTTTATCATAACTGGCTTTTTTGGTTGGCACATAAATTTGAAGTATAGTAGTATTAAATGGTCTTCGTACATGTCATGTTCTGATTATTAATGGATGTGTACAGTTGTTTTTCCTCATTTTGAGTTATGCCCCATCAGCAAATGAAGGTCCCAAAAGCTTTACTCTATTCATGTTATCACTATCAACTGTACTTTTGGGAGGCAGCTCTTCCCCCATCGTTTTTAGTGCCTTGCAGCCTGAGGGGCTCATCTTCCTGCACTGTATCTATTAATATTCTGGTGTTCTTTATCATGTTTCAATATCCAACATTCTGGTGCTGACAGTGCTCTTCATAAGATTTTCAGTGACTAAATTTTTGGAAGTAGTTATCTCTCCTTCTTCCTAATCTGTCTTATTCTGGAAGCTCATCTGAAATCTGTGCACCATGGGTGATCCTGCTCATATTTAAAATAGCAGTGGCATAACTTCCAGAATCACAGGAACACACAAGCCACCACAGTATGACCCACTGACAGGCGAGTGGTGGTGAATAGTGTGGTGAATTCAACCCTGGTGCACACCTTTCCTGATTTTGAACCATTCAGTGTTCCCTTGTTCTGTTCAAATTACTGCCTCTTGGTCCTCTTCGCTTTCAGCAAGCAAGGTTGTATCATCTGCATATCACAGGCTGTTAATGAGTTTTCCTCCAATCTTGATGTCTCATTCTTCTTCAGATAGTCCAGCTTCCTGAATTATTTGCTCAACACACAGAATGAATAAGTATAATGAAAGATTATACAACCCTGGCACACCCTTGTTCCCTCGTTCTGTTCCAACAACCGCCTCTTGGTCTATGTTTGGATTTCTCATGAACACAGTTAAGTGTTCTGGAATACTCATTCTCTGTAATATTATCGATAGCTTGTCATGATACATACAATCAAAAGCCTTTGCATAGTCAGATGTGTGGATTTGACCACAGAAGGTGCCCCATTGGGTTGTCATGAGGTCCTTGCAGTACTTCTTGATGGTTGTGGGGCTTCGGTGGAGGCTCCAAACAGTTGGGCATCCCCAGAACTAACTTTCCTGAACAAGTAGTAGATAATCTTTTAGCTGATGTAGTTATGGCCTTTATTATGGTTGGGCCAGTGTGGGAAGTGGAGATGTCCATAAGATGGTGATGAGCATAGGATAGAACCCATATTACAAGAATATGAAAAAGCCCATGGAAACTCTATCGTTCATACCTTCCAAGAGGACTTCTATGGGGAAGTCTTCAATGGCTACCTGAGTCCAGAACTTTGATTCTTTAGAGTCACTTGTTTCAGCCATTTAAGGTGATATTTAGGAAGCTAAGAAACAACTAGATTTACCAGGATATTTGAAGCTCAAAGAAGACAGTTTCTTTTAAGTCCCTAAAAGCAATATACTGAGTGACCACTGCTGAAATCATCTTATTTACTCATTCACTGTTTTCTGGTATTTTACTGTTTACCACTATGTGGAATCATCTTGGTTATATTTTAAAAATCAAACATTTTCCTACAGCTGTGAGTTAAACAATACAATGTTGCTATTCTATTATATTTCAACTGTTAAAACCATCATGCCACAGGACTAACCAGATTCATTTTAAAAATCAAGATTCTTTATTATGTTAATGAAAACTCCAATCTTTTCCAATTGCTCCACTACAAAGGTCTTAAGTTCTTATGTTGAAAATAAACATGTAGAAATATGGATGCAAAGGCAAATCACTAGTCTGAGATAGGAAGGGTAATTCTCATAGTAAACTACCAGCACATGTTTATTGTACAACACATGCTGTTAGACAGAGCTTGTGGAAATAATGCATTAAAAACAGGCTTGTTTATGAGAAACCTATGAGGGGAAATCCATATTTGTACTTTAGAAATTGTGCCTTTAATTCATCTTTTTCTTTATAAGTTCAAATCATTGCACTCTTCCACTTTTCTTATAAACTTGTCTCAATTTTAAGAAGTCTTGACTCCCTCCTCCTACCATGTTGATTGTTTATTTAAGACAAAGAAAAATGAATTATTTCTTGAGTCTATAGGTATCCTTTTTGTGTTGGGTAACACTTGTTTCTCCTTTTAGAAAGTAGATATTCTTCAACGTTTTTCTTGATTTTGTTCTTTTTTCCTTTATTATCAATATCAATCTTTGTCTATTTAGAGTATCTCACAACTGAATACTCACAAGAGATTGAATTTGTCTGTAACAGTTCATCCTTTGACAGTATGGACAGTAATTGCCAGTTAGATCTGTATTGCATTTTGAGGGAGATGGGGAGAACTTCATCTTTAGGTTTCCTCAAGATTTAAATGAACACAGCAATTCATTTATATATACTAGTTTCTTAACACAAAATGGTTGTCCTCTCCCTGCTTGGGGAACTAAGAGTCAATTAAAATATGTATGATAAAGAAATTTCCATTTTTAATGTAACGACCCTAGCAGTTCTAAACCCTGTACATACACAACTGTAACAATATGATTTCATGCCAGTCTCAATAGTACTTTAGCTTAAGGAAAAGGCAAAAATAATATAATTTTAGTTAAATAATCATCATCCTGTACATTTTTCCTCTGAACTATATGATTTTTTTGGTCACTGGATTCTTGTTTATATTGGCAGAAATTTTAATTCTCTTTGGGATTTAGAAAATTAAGATTACAGGTTGTTGTGGACTCCTGATTTGGTATATCACATCATCATTCACTTTAGCATCAGATCTGGGGAGCAGAGACAGTATATAGAAGGCATTTTTTTTTTTTTAATTCTGCTTTTTCTTTTTTCTTTCATGTTCTCTCTTTTTTTATTTTTACGTTTTTATTGTGAATTATGTGATAGTTTGCATGGGAGAACATTAGCTTTACTTTCATCCTATCGTATTTTGTTTCATTACCATGGTTACGATCTCCTCTGTGCCTCATCAAACATAGAAGGCAATTTTAAAGGTGATAGCTCATAAACCTGTTTTTAGTACATTGGCATCAATGGATTAGAATTGGCTAATAAAGATGCTTATAAAGTATATAGAAAAATGTGCTAGCTGATGGTAAAGTATGGGGAAGCATGGATACATTCAGTTGGCTTGTGCTTTGCTCTATGGATATGCGTAAACAAAGTAGGTTGTGACTTTTTAAATTTTTTATTAAGAATTATTACAAAGTTAATTTAATGTTAGAAATCTAATACTTTGAACAAAGATGCATCAAATATCAGTGACTTTATGAGACAAAGTGAAAAATGAATGCAATATGTAAAAAGAGATTTGCGTTTGTTTTATATGAATAGTTTTCTGCTAATTGTGCCCTTTTAAGTGAAAAATTCTTTGCTATATTGTTACCTTTCATTTCATTAAGTAGCCTCATCACTTTTGAAAATCTTAGTGTACTGTTCACAGGTTAGGTAGTAGTAATTACATTTATATTTTTTAAAGTTTTATATTAAGTATTATAAGAAATATTATTATAGAGGAGTAACAATCTTATCAGTCTGAATATTTCAAGCATTGAAATTAATTCTAAGTGAAAAAAAAAAAAACTCAGTTAATCAAATGAGATAGTGGGGTAAATGGTCTACCATAATTCATGAGAGAGTGCTAAATTTAATTTGTGTAAATACTGAAGTCCTGATGAACCAGTTGGCAGCTCTGTAACTACCAGCCAACGCCTGTTTTGACAGATGTTTCTTAGGGGGAAGGGTTTATAGCAAGAAGCCATCTTACTATATATTTTTATATTGTTGTCCCTTTCTTTCTTCTTTTTTGTTTTTTAGATTAGATGCAAACAAACCAATGCAGTACTTGGAAAACAAAGCAGCTTTAAATGAGGCACTGGAACGGTTGAACTGGCCCATTTCACTGACAGAATTGTCATTGTTGGAAAATGAAATCTTAGCTGGGAAAATGTACATCCAGCAGGCCATGGAACTCCAGGAAGCTGCCAAGAAGGAAAATTATGTGAGCAAGGTACTGCATGGTTGGGTGTGTGGAAATTTCTGTATTGCCAAGACCATCCTCTTTGGCTGTCCTAAGTCATTTCTCTTTTCTACATTCGTCTTCCTAGCCTCTCCACTCTGATCGCCCTAGGACTTAGAGCCAGCCCAAGTTGCAGGATTTTATTTATTTAAGTTTCAGGATTTTATGCATCCAAAGAAAATACTATTTGATTTTACTATGACCTTTGCCATTACATCATAAATCCTTTCAAGGAAAACCAAAAATAAACAGAGGTATGGCATAGTGATTAAAAGTCTGGACTTTGGTTTAAGCCAGAACAGAGTCCCAGCCTCAGTAACTGATCTCAGCCCATTATTCAGTTAAGAAAACCTTTATTAATAGTATCTGCCTCAGAGAGCTGTTGTGAGGATAAAAGCAACACTAAAAGTAGTTAGTGCTGAATGCCTCCTGTTGTTGTTGTTGTTGTTGTGTTAAGTGCCATTCGAGTCAGTTCTGACTCAGGAGTGGCTGGTATGCTTGAACTGCTAACCTTGTGGTTAAAATTGACCTTGCAGTCCAGTGCATTAACCCACACCACCACACCAGGACTCCAAATGCCTCCCATAAGCGTTAGAAATTATTTTCATGATTAATATAACAAATGTTTTGAAAAGAAAAAAGTGATTTACAGTCTTACTTCTTTATTTTTACCACTTTGGAGTGTTTCCTCTGAGTTTCATGGTTTTTCTCCTTGAGTAAATGTCTTTTACATAGATGCAGTCAGTGTGCCTATAACTATTTTATATTCTTTTTAGTTTAATACTTTCATGACTAGATTGTTTTCTGCTTTGCATTTTTTGTTTGTTATCATCATATTGAAATCAAGAGGAAAACATTTTTAAGTAATATGGATTTTGATACAATTCTGTGTGATACATGTGTCCCAAGTGGACTCTGGTGATAGGATTGGTGGGATGAATCCCTTTTCTTCAGATTCACAAAGTTATATAGGTCTCAGCCAGGTGGTAGCATGTACTATATGTAACTGGGATAGCAGCTTCCCAAGAAGCCTGAGAGGCTAAAAATGTTGGTAGATGATATATGTCCCATGGGTCACGAAAGAGTTAATTTTCATAGACTTTTCCTGTGTTGCCACTGAATCTTCAGGTTGATATTTTGGTGGTTATATAATATTCCATGGTATGTTTATATCCTTATTTATTTAACTCTTTACTAAATGTTGAATGTTTAGGTTCTTTTGTTCTCTGCTCTTTCACATAAAGTTTAATGACTCCTATATTGTATATAGTTGAAATGTTTTGTTAATAGATTCTTAGAACTGGGATTCCTGAATCAAAAAACATGAACATTTCAAGGCTCTAGATGTCCACTGCCAGTGTAACCACCCTTTCTGCTGGAGGGTGGATGTGTAACCATGGCAGAGTTTATTTAGTGTCTTACTGAATTCTAGAAAATTCTCAGATAGTCACCATAGATAATCTAAAAAATAAAAATAAAATTCCCAAAGACCTGACCTTTGGGATTCATCATTTTCATTCTGGCCTTAGCCAAATGATACTAGCTTTGCCTTGTTTTAGATTTTGTATTTGCTACTCTAGATTTTCATGTTTTGTTTTGTTTTTAATTTTCTTTTCCCCCCTGGATATCACAATTTTTACTTCAGCATAGAAAGCTATGCCTTTTGTAGAGTCTGGATAAAGGCAAAATTGCTAATAGATCTTATGTCTATAGTGTGATTCAAATGAATTGACTTCTGACAGAGTTGTTTAGCATTTCCTTGGGAAACATTGCCTGAAAAGCACTCATAACTAGAATGGTTGCTGTTAACTAGAATGGTTAAAAGCACTCATAACTAGAATGGTACTATCAAATTGGTTCCAACTCATAGCGACTCTTTAGGCTGGGTTCTCTAGAAAAGTAAAACCAGTGAAACTTACGGATATATATATCAAGAGATGTTTATGCCAAGGAAATGGCTCACATAGTTGTAGAGATGGAGGAGTCCCAAGTCCAGGTCAGAAGGCAGGCTGGCAGTCAGGTTCAGGAAGCAGGTCCAGCAGGCAGGCAGGCAGGTAATAGAACAGGTCACCGGCTCAAGTCCAAAGAACTGGAGGTGACAGGACAAGCCAGATACAAGATCCAGACCCAGCAGAGAGCAAGCAAGCTTTGCCTGAGTGTTTAATATATTAGAAGTAGGTCACACCCCCAAGAAAACATCCTTTATTAATTGATTGGCTACTCATCATAAAGTTAATTTTGTATTAAATTTCATTGGGGATAACTACATCTCAACTGTTTTTGTTGTTATGTACCACGGAGTCAGTTCTGACTCATAGTGACCCTGCACAGGATTTCCAGTGCTGTAAATCTTTACGGGAGCAGAAAGCCTTATCTTTCTCCCGCAGAACAGCTGGTAGTTTCAAACTGCTGACCCTGAGGTTAGCAGCCCAATTCTAGAACCACTGAAAATCCTGGCCCGGTCAAGTTGACACAAAAGCTTAAGTATCATAGTGGTGGTGGTTGTGTGCCGTGGAGTCAGAATCGACTCATAGTGACCCTGTACAAGGTTTCTGAGGCTGTCAGTCTTTACGGGAGCAGAACGCCTCATCTTTCTTCCACGGAACAGCTGGTAGTTTCGAACTGCTGACCTCAAGGTTCGCAGCCCAATTCGTAACCACTACGCTACCAGAGCTCCTTGTATCATAGCAATCCTGTATAAGGTTTCCAAAGAGTGGCTAGTGGGATTGAACCTTGTGATTAGCAGTCCAGTGCTTATCCTACAGTGATTATAAATGATGGCTTTTCCCATGTGAAATTGTGTAGGTACCCCGGCCTTACAGCAGGATTTACTAGCATTTTTGCTTTTATCTAGAGTTTACATTACATTTACAAATGCTGTGGGTTAATGCACTGGACTGCAAAGTCGGTTTGAACTGCAAAGTCAGTCGTTCAAGCTCACCAGTCGCTCCTCAGAAACCATATACAGGGTCGCGATGGGTCGGAACTGACTCGACGGCACGTAACAACAACAACACTACTAATGGAGTAAAAAGAAACCTCTAGTGATTCAAAACACAGATAGTGTCCTTTAATGAAGTTGTCCTGGTGTGGTGTTGTAGGATAAGCACTGCATCACAAGGTCGGTTTGAATCACAAGGTCAGTGGTTCAAATTCACCAGCTTCTCCTAAAGGATTGCTATGAGTCGGAACTGACTCAATGGCACTTAAGAACAATGATGAATTTGTCTGGAATTCTAGAATTCAAACACTTATATTTCCAGGATATGAACTAACTGTTCTATTTCTTTATTCCCTTATCTACAAAGTGAGAATAGAATTAATATCCATTGAAGCTAATCTCTTCATCCAAAAGCATTTGTTCACTCCCTACCATGGATCAGATTATGTGCTTGACACAAGAGATCACAGGCAATGAAGAGCTACCTTATCCATTGCGCTCTCTCTCTCTCTCCTTAGGTGATTAGATACCTGTTAGACATGAGCTCTGGTAGCATAGTGGTTACAAATCGGGCTGCGAACCTTAAGGTCAGCGGTTCGAAACTACGAGCCGCTCCGCGGGAGAAAGATGAGACTTTCTACTCCCGTAAGGATTTACACCCTCGGAAACCCTGTACAGGGTCGCTATGGGTCGGAACCGACTTGACGGCACTTAACAACAACAACAGACATATAATGGAGTTGGTTCACTGCGTTGAAGACTTAGACCCAGTCTTCTGGAGGAGGTAGCTACTGGAATCTCCACTCCATGAGTGGAGATCTTGTTCTGGCTTTGTTTTTAGCTGTGTTTACAGCAGCTAGAGTAAAGCCTGGCACACAGTGGGTACTGGACAAATATTTATTGCACGAATGAAACCCAGAGACTTAACAAGCAATCTTATAAATATGATAACAGAATCAAGCCCAAACAGAAATTGAAAGATGAATAAAAGTGACTGGGTCTAACTGTAGAGTTAGGGAAGACTTCACAGAGGAGAGAGATCATTCATTAAATTTGGTGTGGAAAGATGTATAGGAATTTGGGAGTTAGGATATGAGAAATGTTCTTCATGAAAGAAATAGTCTGTGCAAAATCAGAAAGGTGGGAAGGGAAGAGCATGCATGTTCATGTCAGGAAACAAGATCAGAATCTGAAGTATATAATTTTCTGAACATAATACTTCTCCTTACCATGTGTTAGCAATTTTGTTATGTTAATTCCATTTTCGTCATGCCCCCATTGACTTGGTTTCATGACCTACTAACGATTCTCAACTTCCCTTTGGTTGGGACCAAAGCTAAGGACTGTGAGATCTTTTGAGATAGTGGGGTGAGATGCTAATCATTTTCACTTAATTGATTCTGTGATTCTATGATTGTAAATTGGAAGAAACCTTCTGCTAATCAGTAAGATCTCTACGAGTTAATTGATAGTGTGTAGTAAAAGCCATCAGAAATGCTCACGTGTGTTCAGCAGGGTGTGGTCACTGTGTTTAGCCCACCCCCAGGCCCATTAATTGTGGACGATGGCCCATCTGATGCCCTCCTTTGCAGTTGCCCTGTTGGCACAGCTTCATGACTCATCTGGTGAGGACCAGAGGTGGGAAGGACCAGTGACTGTAAATGTCTGTGCCTGACTAGCCCTGCTTTTTCTGCTCAGGCTTTCCCTGGAAGTCCTTACCTGGACTCGAGATCAAACCTAAGATACCAACTATGTTTCCCACATGCTCTGCCCCACAGCCTAAGATGTGGTGCATGCCATGCTT